AGCTGGGACACAACTGGGACTTCAGGTTGAGGATGCCCCAGGCCCAAACTAATGAGCACAATGAGCACGTGTTTCCTGCCTTACCTCCCAGAGATTCTAGCCTGAGGTTGAAGAACTGGGCACCACCTATCCTGGTTAACATTCACCAAAAGCATTTTCTCTCCAACCTCTCAGACTGGGGTCAGGGTATTTTTCTTTTGTAAAATCCACTTGTTACTTTTAGTCTAAAGTAGTGTTTTAGATATAGCATGTGATCCTGATACTTACGGTTGCTTGCTTGAAAAACGTTTCTTAAAAAATATTCTAAATTTGCCACTTTGAAATAATTGCCTTTTTTGTACTTAATATTATTTTTCTACTATTTTAAATTCTGGAAAATATTTGATCATATTGCATCATGGTGGTGTATATGGAGGAGTTTGTCAGTGGTTCCTGCTTTCAAGTCTATAATAAACCTTCCCTCATGTTGAACAGTTTTTCCAAAAGAGTTTCCTTAAAATAAAATGAGACATCGCTCCATAAAATATACCTGAAATGTGACTCCTTCTCACTACCTCCATCAGAGCTGCCCAGAATCAAACCACTATTGTCTCGTATTCTACCTGGTTTCGCTCTGTGCCTTCTTCCTTGACAGAGCTGCTGGAACAATTTCTTTTCAACATTAGTCAAATCATTTTCTCTGCCACTTTCCCCAAACACCCGTTCCCAGCCCGTCCATTTCATGTAGAATAAAGCTCCGAGTCTTTGCCATGGCCTGTACACAGGGCCCGTCCCATGGGCATCCAACCGCCCCATTCATGCAAACCCCTGCACCCAGAAGAGTCCTGTGTTTGGGGTTTAATGCTCTGCAGTTGTAAGTGTTAATAATTTATCTCTGAGCTTCAATTTTGAAAGTAAAGTCCAGTGGATAATGGAGCATGTGCCTCATCATGGGCTATCCAGCCTCCCAGCACTTCTCAGCCTGCCTGGGACAAATTTTGACTCCCTACTTTCTGGTGTCCAAGCCTCTCCTGGCTTCCCCCTCTTTGCCTCTGACATGATAGCTGATGCCTTGCATCCAGGGAGGGCCTGAACTGGGCTAGCAAATGCAACACATTGACAGGCAATTGATGAAGGGGGGGAATGGTGGCCAGCAGGGCAGGCTTCTCACCCCCACCCCCCAATCCAGGTACCGAACATGTTTCAACACAGCAGTTGCAATCCCTTGGGTGCCACCCATGCACTGTGGAATGGAGAGAGGCCACGGGAAGGGAGATTGACTTCCCCTCCCCCACAGCCAAGGAAGGGCAGATTGGTGGTCCAGGAGCTGGAAGGGGGAAGAACCCTGCATGTTCCATGAAGTCAGGAAATTTTGCATGCACTGAGTAGCAAAGCAGGGCCCCCAGGTGCCTATGAGGGTCTGCACTCCCCCCTGAGTATCCCCATACCCACGGGAGTGGGACTCAACAGCAAATAAAATCACCATGAGGAAGAGACTGCAGAAGAAATATAAAAACTTTTTATTTTAGTACCTTCAAAGTCATGTTTTTAACTGCTTTTTAAACAAGGGACCCTGTATTTTCATTTTGCCCTAGGACTCCCAAGGTACGTAGCCAGCCTTGCCTGTGTATGATGGGCCCCTGCCTACCCCTCCAACTCCATCTGCCCTGCTGTCTCCCTCCTGCACTCCTCCCAACCAGCCTGGAGTTCTTGCAGGTCAGAACGCACTTGCCAAATTCAGAACACACTTGCCAGACTCAACCCTGCTCCTGGCCTTTACCTTGCTATTTTCCCCACAGTCACTTCCCCATTTGGATTTTTCTCTCAAATGTCATGTCTAGATCCTAATCTCAAATGATCACTACCTTCCGTTTTTGCTCCATGAAAATGCCACCCTATGCTAATTACTCATTATCTCCTTACGCAAGCTTGTTTTTCTTCCAAGTCCTTAAAGCTAGCCAGCATGCATTAGATATGTGCACTTATTTTATTTTATTTTATTTTTTTGTATTACTGGTCTTCCTCACTCGAATGTGTATTCTATGAAGTCAGGGAATTTTTTGTGCTCATTTCTTTATCCCCAGTGCCCAGAATAGTGCCAAATATATAATAGGCTCCTAACAAATACATGTGGAATGAATGTGTGAACGAACCTGTGTCTGCCATTCTGTGTTCCTCTTGCTCATGGTTTCTTTTTGGAGGAGGGAAAAATACATCTCCCAGGGAGAGATCCTCCCCAAACTGAGGCCTGTTATTAATTCAGTTATTAATCAAAAAAACTATCTACTGGATATCTACCATGTACAATTAGGTGCGGTGCCTATTCTGCCTGAAATGCTATATTAGACCCTCAGGAGGAGCTCTCCTGATTAAGATAGTCCTCACTTTTCCTTCTTCACAATTATGTAGAACATTCAATTAATTTTCTTTTTTTTAATTTCAGAATACTATGAAGGTACAAATGCTTTGCTTACATAAATTGCCTTTGCATTGCCCATTCTGTAGTTTGTCTAGTCACTCTAATGATTGTTTCCTTGTCTGTACAGAAGCTTTTTAATTTGATCAGGTCTCATGTGTTTATTAATATTTTTTTTTTGCTGTGATTGCTCTTGCAATCTTCTTCATAAATTCTTTTCCTAGGCCAATGTCTGTTAGAGTTTTCCCAACATTTTCTTCTAGAATTCTTATGGTTTCATGTCTCAGGTTTTAATCTATTATCCATCATGAGTTGATCTTTGTGAGATGTGAAAGGTGTGGATCCTATCTCAGTCTTCTACATGTGGCTATCCAATTTTGCCAGCACCATTTACTGAATAAAGATTCTTTTCCCCAGTGTATGTTGATTTTATTCCGCAGAGTATGTTGACGCTCCCAAATATGTGGGAGAAAATATTTGCAAGCTACACACCCAATAAAGGGCTGATAACTAGAATCTACATAGAAACTCAGGAAAATTAGCAAGAAAAAAAATCAAACAACCCCATTAAAAAGTGGGCAAAGGACATGAACAGAAACTTTTCAAAAGAAGACAGACTAATGGCCAACAAACATATGAAAAAAATGCTCAACATCTCCGATTATCGGGGAAATGCAAATCAAAACCATAATGAGATATATCACTTAACTCCAGTGAGAATGGCCTTTATTAAAAGTCCCAAAACAACAAATGTTGGTGTGGATGTCTAGAGGTGAGAACACTCATACACTGCTGGTGGGACTGCAAACTAGTGCAACCTCTATGGAAAGTAGTATGGAGATACCTCAAAGAACTAAAAGTAGAACTACCATTTGATCCAGCAATCCCACCACTGGGTGTTTACCCAAAGGAAAAATAGAAATTCTATAAAAAAAGACATCTGTGCCCAAATGTTTATAGCAGCACAATTCACAGCTGCAAAGAGTGGAAACAATCCAAGTGCCAATCAGTAAATGAATGTATTAATAAAAAGTGGTATATGTTAACCTTGAAGTTCTACTCAGCCATAAAAAAAAAAATTACAAAACTACCTGTTGTATTATTCTGGATGGAGCTAGAGCTCATTCTTCGAAGTGAAGTATCACAAGACTAGAAAAACAAACACCACATGTACTCACCATTAAATTGGTACTACTTGATTAACACTTATGTGCACATATGGGGAGTAACATTCATGGGGTGTCAGGCAGGAGGGAGCGGGGAGAAGGGGATGGGTAAATCCACACCTAAGGGATGCAGTGCTGTCTGGGGGACGGGCATACCTGTAGCTCTGACTTGAGCAGTGCAAAGGCAAATTATGTAACCAAAGCATTTGTACTCTCACAATACTCTGAAATTAAAAAAGAAGATACAGAAAAAAAATGCTGCACATGATCTGCAGAAAGGAAGCGCCCCTCTCTGCCTATTTTGTCTCCCAGTGCCTGCCCAGAAGCCTCATTTTCACCTGGTGTTCCTCTGGCTGGCTTTATCTACTCATGGTACAAGGTCCCCCGCCCTTAAAAGGAGCCCAAGATGGGGCCCAAAGTCCCTCTGAACCTCCCCTTCGCATTCCATGCACTTCCATCCTGCTTTCCACCCTTTGGTACTAACGGGTGCGGGCATAGCTCGGTGCTTGTAATGGAATTAGTGACACACCAACGGCCCATGTCACCACCCTCCCTGACCTCGGGGATTCTTTTAAATGTGTTATGACTCTTCCCTCACCCCACTGGCGCCACATGAACCAGTAACCCCAAGTTTGGAAGCAGTGATTCCACTTGACACTTCCCATTGTTTATGGTTTCCCAGCCAAATTCTCAAGCCCTGTGAACTTGTTTTCATGCAACTGGTTGAATTCAATTTAGCAGGAAATAGTTTATGACGTAGGGGAGATCTCCAAGTATGCGTTGCCCTCTGCCAGGGCTGGGCTAATTCTTTTGAAATTAGGCCACTTAAGGATTTTTGCAGTTATGCAAAGTCAAAATAAGTAAAGAAAGATAAATCACCAGCCCTCTGGGGAAGTCAGAAGAAAGTAAAGCATCCTTAATTTCCCTCTGCTGCTGAGTTATGTAGACATCTTCCGATGAAATGGACTTTGGGGTTGGAACAGCTAATAAGGAAAAAAAAAGAATCTCATAAATAAAGCAATTGTAAATAAAATACATTCATAGCAAGAAAAAGCAGGCAAATCTATATGTGAAAGTAACCGCCCAAAGGAACACACTCCAATTTGCTCTAGTTCTACTTTCTTGACTCACCAAACGATCATTACTTAATACTCAAGAAAAACAATACAGTGGAGCCTAATCTTCTCTTTGGGCAATCTTTGAGCGATTGTTACCTACCCTAATGAGGCGTGGGGGAAGTTCTGTCCCAAATAGAGCCACTGAGGTGGGGGTCACCCTTACAGGCAGTCAGTCCTATTAGTGCCTCACTGGTCATCACAGGCCAAGTGTCTGGGAGAATTCCTTTGCCAGCTGTCCTGTAAATTCATACCAGTGGCCAGAGGAGTGATGAGGTCACAGAGTGTGAATTGCTAAGATACAGCACCACAGAAGAGAGACTAGTTCAAATGGCCATGCCCCTCTCATAGGGGTTATCTACTGCGAGAGAGTTGAAGAATTTTATGCTTCTCATTAAAATCAGGAGGTTAGTGTTATCTCTAACATCCCAGCCAACACTTAGGAATTTACGTTGTCTTTTTAGCATCCCAGATGGGAGAGGTGGCATTGGTACGACAAGTTTATGCAGAAAAAAAAGAAAAGAACTCCATGAAGGAAAAGAATAACATTGACTTAACAAAGACCAGAATTGAAGATTGCTTATTCTTGAGTTTTGGGGGGTCCTATTTTCCAGGGCAGATAGCTGCAGGCTAACTGTCATACTATTTTGCTATATGAATTTCTCATGTGCCTGCATTTATTGAGATCTTTAATTTCCTAAACAGATAGCTACATTTTAATGGTCATACTTTTTTGCTATGATTCCCAGACCCCAAGTTTGATTTGGCCTATTAAGAATAAAGTTGCCCCAGTGTGCATTGAAACTCTTCTTGAAATCTGAAAAAATTATGTAAGTCAGCTTGGAAACCCACAACTTTATAGGTCATACACACAGCTATGATGCCTTTTTCTTACCTTTTTTATTCTAACAACATTCTCACCCCCTCCCCATTTATAGTAATCCATTTTAGGGATGCATAATTCATCCAATCAATTACCTATCACATCAGAATCTGTTATTTAAACTGACGTGAGCATTCTTTACAAATTTTGTCCTGTGTTTGTGTATACTCTGTTACAGGGAATGTTCGCTTGAGTGGAGGCTGGGGCAGAGATGCAGAGGGTGGGATGGCCAGCGTCATGAGCAGTGTGCCTCCTGTGTGAGTGAGCCTGGATGTGCCTGCCATGGAATTTCCTCTGGTCATTAATCATAGACATATCCATTACTGGAACCCTGTTTTTCCCCTGATGTTTGTTAAATTATATATTTTCCATCCTGACATAAGCCAATAAGTTTTGAGTTATTTACATATCCCTGTTTTACCTCCTCTTATTGCCAAAGGTAAGTGACATGGAACAAACTCATGGGTCAACACAATTGCAGTAATTAAGACAATGCTCTCAGTGGCAAAACTAAAACCTGGAACTGGACAACTTGTTTTCACTGTCTCCTTCTTGGATCATTTGAAATATAGGGGGAAAAAAATCAAGCAATCTACATCGATATAAGATTAAATTCAATAAAGTGTTAGTGACACTAAATCTGCTGTAGACAGAAACCTTGTAAGAGGTTCAAACCAGACTCAATTAGAGCAAGCACATGTCCTAAATCAATCCATTACCCAAAACAGTGTGTTCCATTCCATCCTTTTTCCAAACACAAGGCCCATCTCCACCTTTTTTTCTTTATTGGTCACATTGTTTCCATGCTGACATGAATTAAAAAGAGCTTGGATCTGTTCTGCCTCAATAGTTTGAATACCTTTTGTATTTCTACTTTTGCTATGGTGAAACTTTTTATTGCTATCTGCCTGTCCCTGGAATCTTTGTATCCAAAATGGAGAAGTAATAAAGATCCAAATAAAACCACTAAAGCCCTAGATGACAAGTCAAGAAATTGTCAATGTCTCATTTTTAATTGCAATTATTATTTTGTTCTTTGAATCTTTAATGTGATTCTATCACTTTAGAGTGACCCATCCACTCTCTGCAATAGTTTTCCAATGTAAAACTGATCTAGCCACTGCCAGGTGGAAACTCTTAAAGAGAAGAATTTGAGATTAGATTCTATTGGAAGTACACGATTATTGTTCTTCCGAAATGTGCAGGTCATGGTGTATATTGCTCCCGAAGTGTTTGTACTGGTCCATGGCTTCAACCCAGAATGCCTCTTGCCAGCCTGAAAGAACAAGTTATAAAGTTACTGCAGAGATATATGCTCAACTTTCCATCTCATCCTCCACCTGTGGTCAGTTTTGAAATTTAACCTACTTTTTACAATTTTAGTTTAGGGACTAAGATGAAAGGACTACATAGGATTGAGTAAAAAAAAAAAAACAATGCTGAAGGAATGGGGATGATTTTCCCTGATGAGGGACTCTGTCTTCAAGGCTATGAAGAGGGTTATGACAAGGAAGATAAATACAAGTTGTGTATTTTCTTTGAACACCAGCCAAGAGAAGCTGATCAACTTTTAGGTGAAAACAGGCTAAAAGTAAGTAAGACCTTTCTTACTTTAAATTGTTACGCTTTTAATTGTATCAAAGACACATTTCTCCTTCCATATTAAAAAAGAAGAAGAATGGAGATTTGTATTCATTTCTATTTCACTCTATCTCAATTTAGGAAGATGAATTGAAGGGCTATTCAAACTTCCCTTTTTCTAGCCCTAAGAAATATTCAACCTATCGCTACTGCAAAGAGCTTCAGAAGCAAAGCATCGTCCTGAATGGACAGTAAAATAAATTCGGGATCATCCTTGAAATCCAGGATAATGAGGCACGTTGCTCTCAGATTCGGCCCCCCAGCTTCCATCACACCACAGTTGGGCAGCAAAAGGTCAATATACAGCCATTTTTAGGCCTAAAAGATAGAGCCCTTGAAAATTGCAGACCATTTACTGTTGTCCCACAGTAATTGTGGGAAGAGTTTTGGAAGATCTTCTGAGAAATCCAGTGTAGTAAGAATGGAGAGAGAAAGCCACAATTTGAATAAAGGAAACCCAAGAGGGCTACAGGAAGTAAAGAAATGACAGGAGTTTTTCCTGCCCTGTGGCAGGGGCTGCAAATAGCTGGGCTTTATGTTACTCACTGACAGGACCTCATGTTTTGGACAGCCATTCAACAGTTTTGTTCTGTTCGACAGACATTGATGGATGTTCCACACACTGCACGAGATTCTGGGAATACAGCAATGCAGCACATCCAGTATCTCTCCCCACATGACTTAAACTCTAAATGAAGCCACAGATGAGTTAACCAATAATCATTCTTCCCCTCTCTCTTCACCTGAATAAGTGCAGCTCAGCCCTACAGGGACAGCTTACATGTCTCCTCCTTAGCAGAAAGCCTCCTTCACCTTATTCACTATGCTTGGTCTCCATGTGTTTCTATTTCATAGCACTTTTCACATTTGTCATTTAAGAAGGTATTTGTGCAAATATTTTCTAATATACATCTCCTCTATAAAGGAAACCATCTGGCCATGTCAATAATGCAGGATTCCCAACACACGGGACAATGCCTGACACACAGGAGGTGTTCAAAAGTGAGCTTGATGGATGAGTGAGAGGTAATAAAAGCAAAAGTGAAGATATGCATATGATACTACAAAAGCACATAAAAGGATAATTATTGTATGTCCTGAGAATGATAACCAATCTGAATCTTAAAAAGATGAGTTAATGTTACCCAGGTAAGAAAGGAGGGAACAGGTGCACCCAACTGTGAAAGCATCAAAGTTAACCTTCCAAAGCATGAAATGGCTGGCACCATGTGTGTAGTTACAAGCAACACAGCATGTCTGGCAAGGAAATTGTGAAGGAAGGAAGAGCAGAAGTTCAAGAATACAGAAGATCCTACAAGTCATTGCAAAAAATCTTTGACTTTGTCTATGGCAATGAGGAGCCTTTGAAGAGTTTGAAGTCAAGAAGTAATATGGCCAGACTATCAAGGTACCATTCTACAGACAAAGCAGGGAAATAACAACTCCAATACCAAACAGGCATTGAAGACATAAGGCTCAAAGCCAGTTCTCCCTATGACAGGCCCTGTGACAATCGATTTGGAGGCCCACCGAGCATAAGCTTATGTTACCCTGAATGAGAACCTTACCTAAGCCTATTGCATGTGCCCAACTCTTGTAGGGTTACAGACCAAGTGAAAGAATTTAGTTAAGGAAGCAAAACACCTATGGAAAAACCAGAGAACAAAAATATACCTAAGTAAGAAATATGATATTTGAAAATTGAAAAAGAAGCTCAGGATAAAGTTGGACCAGAGTTGTGTAGAGTAAGTGGAGAAAGACTCTTTTTAAGAGATGAGTTTCATCTGGTCCTTTAAGGAAGTGATAGAGAAAAGAGACTGACTTCTTTTTCTTAATCATCTTAACTTCAATGGTTGCTTTGCAGTTGTGTAGTAGAATGTCCTTGTTCATAGAAAATTCACACTAAGTACTCAAATAATGTGTTTAAGTTGGGGGAGTCCTAACACACGTTAGGACAAGGTGTCAGCAATGTACAGTACCCTCAAATTTAAAAAAATATCTTGAGGCCGGGCGCGGTGGCTCACGCCTGTAATCCTAGCACTCTGGGAGGCCGAGGCGGGCGGATTGCTCAAGGTCAGGAGTTCAAAACCAGCCTGAGCGAGACCCCGTCTCTACCATAAAAATAGAAAGAAATTAATTGGCCAACTAATATATATATATATATATATATATATAAATTAGCAGGGCATGGTGGCGCATGCCTGTAGTCCCAGCTACTCGGGAGGCTGAGGCAGGAGGATCGCTTGAGCCCAGGAGTTTGAGGTTGCTGTGAGCTAGGCTGACGCCATGGCACTCACTCTAGCCTAGGCAAGAAAGGGAGACTCTGTCTCAAAAAAAAAAAAAAATATATCTTGAAGAGCAATGGGGAGGGCTGCTCTGGGGGAGCCACTTGAGGAACCTAGTGGAGGAAGGTCGCCCTTGTGCTTGCCGTTGCCAGCCCAACAAATCTCTTTTCCCAGACACCTGCAACCTGCCTACCCCATTCGCTCATTCAGCCCTTCTCTGATCATTTTATAAAGCAGAATGCCCTCTCCTCTGTCACTATCAACTGCCTTATTCTGTTTTCTTTCTTCATATCACTTCTTCATCTCACTCTGTGAGAACAAGGACTTGATCTGTTTTACTGATATATTTCCAGCAAACATTAGCTGCTACATGGGGGCACAGTCAATACTTGCTGAATGAACGAGTGAATGAATTAGTGCTATGAGTGGGAAGGACAGGATGTTTCGGGACCATGAATGGGACATCTATGTGTTCCTGGGGGAGGAGGACAATAAGGACAGGTTTTATAGAGGTAGTGACATCTATGCAGACACCTAAAAATCCCATAGGAATTGGCCGAGTGTGGCGTGTTAAGGTAGACTGCTGCGGGCTGGGGTGGCCAAAAGCTGGTCTTTGTCCATCACTGCTCTTCCCCACTCACAAGCATCATTTAATGACACACTTCTATTCTGAGACAGTATCCCCATCTCTCTACCACTCCCTTCCTGTTCTACCAATAATGTCAACACTACTCTCACTGAGAGGCAGCTATTCCATCTAATCTGGTGACAGTCCCCCACCCAGGGCTGACAAGGGGTTGGTTACTCTTTACAGGATAGGGCCAGGAGCTTGACACATGGGTTCAAACCCCAATTATGTCACCTACCAGATGTGTGACCATAGGCAAGTTTCTTCCCTTTCTCTGAAACTCCTCACTAAGAAAACCTGTCAAATAAGAATTCTTATTTCACAGAGTTGGATCAAATGAAAACACTTTATAATCTGCCATTAATTTATACCACACAACCCAGACATATGGTCTGGAATTAAAGATGGTAGCCACAGGCAATAGGGCTATCTCTGTACACAGAATGACACCTTGTCAGCAAAAGACCCTGGAGAGAAGATTCAGGTTCACACTTAAGGCTCTCGCCTTTTGTCTCTACCTCAATAACCTAGAGTCCAGTCCATTCCTACAGAGCATGCTTCCTGCTTACAGCTGCCCTTCCCCAGAGCTATGCTCTATCGGTCCTGCCTTGCCCCTTCTTCTGAGAGAATAATGTCTAAGAATGAAGGCACTTGTGCTTTAATCCTGGCACAACCATTTACTGTCTGGGCAACACAACTGCTAGTGACAGAGAGGAAGGACAGCCCCATGTGAGCTTGGGAAGTCACTATTATAAAGAATTGGAACCCCTTGCACAGAACAGGTGGCTGAGAAGTAGAATATGATGAATGTTACTGCTGTTTCAATGGGCTTTCCCACATTTATGGGGAGCTGGCATTTCTCATTTATCCAAAAGAAGAAAGAAAAAAAATCCATAGATCAATCATTCTACTACTAAAGAAGATAAAATTTGATCAACTTTTCTTGGATATCTCACATACGCTTCCTTCCAAAAGCACTTGAAACTTAATTTAGTCAATGACTGGCCAAAGGGAGTAATGCAACCGTTGCAATTTATGATTCACCAAGTGATGGCTTATAATAAATGTAATAATGTAGCAATAATAGTAATAGCAAACACTATACACACACTGCAGGCAATGTTTCATCAAAAGTGCTTTACAGACAACACCTCATTATAAACCTTACAAAAACCCTAGGAGGTATTATCCCCATTTTACAGAAGGGAAAACCATCCCCGAGGTTCCTAATAACAGGAAATCAGGCCGATTTCAGTAGGAGAGTCAAGCCAAGAAAAATATGAACTCAGCAGACAGTCGGAAATCTGTCAGGAAATTACATCCCTTGTCGCTTTATCACTTAGCACCAAGAACACTTCCACTTACTGTATGGGCTTCTAGTAATATGGCAAACACTCCAGTCCTTAGAAATGTCCGAATAAAGAGCAAGTCATATGAAGGGAGATTTAAAGTGGAGTCACTTTCTATGGCTTCACCATTTAGATCTATCTTTCACTATTGCTTCTGGCATGCCTATACTAATTGGAATTGCATTCACCACGTTGTTCAGAAGTGGTGTCCGTGATCAGTGACACTTGTACTGGGCTTTTTGATATACAAAGCACTTTTAATGCATTATCTCATCTGATTCTTTCAATGATGGTGAGAAACAGAAGCTTGTATTCCCTTTTTATACATCAAACTGAGGCTCGAGCATGTCCTCAAGTCCCAGAACTGGGTGCCAAGCCCTGTACCCTGTCTTATGTCCCATCTTCTTTATACTGTATCATGCTTTCATCTTGTCATAAGACGGAGAACCCAGCTCTCTTCCCAGGGTAAACTTCAGTTCCACAGCCACACCTCAGACACCCAACCAGGTCAAAGGACTTATAAGAGCACGTCATTGTTGTCATTGTGTGCAGATGTATGGAACAGAGCTTGTGGGTTAACTGGTGTTCAGACTGGGCCACACACCTACAAACTTTACTGCAAACAGTAAACATCGCTGTGTCACACAGATGTCTTTTATGTGCCAGAAAACACAGACTTTGGACAAACTTAAAGGAAATTCTGTTGACATTGTTGTTGTTTTCCTTCTTGTTGCTTTAATCCAGATTGGCTAGCAGTCAAAGGAACAAGATCCTCCTCTCCCCCCTCCAGTCCTCAACATTTCAACTGAAAAGAAAAGCATTTGCATTGCCGTTTTATAAAATCCCATTAAGGGATTAGAGATTCGAGATATTTCCTGAAGTCTAGGAGAGAACGAGAATGAAGGTTCCTGAACCAGCAGTTGAATCATAATTCACGCATCCCTGACAGGTAAGCAGGAAAAGAGTTAGCATTGGAGTCATCCCGTTTCACTCTGGAATGCCCCTCTGAGCTGGAGGAAACCCGTGTCATCACCTTCCCACCATTCAGTAGTCATGGTTATTAGTGGCTTCCAAAGATACTCAGAGCCAGATTTCGGTCACATGGGGTCAAACAATGGAATTCCTGCTCTCAAGGACAGAGGAAGACTCTAATTTTATTTCCCAGTTAGCACACACGCGATTTCCACCCAAGACATGTGTTATTCAAAGCACTGCCTAAACATGAGTGCTATGATGTGAAATACCTATCTCTGATGTTCTGTGTCCCCCTGAGGGGACTGGGCTGTGACCCTGCTTGGCTTCTCTGATCAACGCGGACTTTCAGCCCTGAGAATCCCTGACCCACAGCTTGAGGGCAAAACCCTAGAGATCCCCTTGGGCCCTTATGGATGTGGTCCTCTGATGGTATAAATCAAAAGCTCCACTGGAATGGGAACGTGGGGCTCTGGGCACTTCACAGCTGATATTGTGGCTTCTTTAGATCTGGAGCAGTTCGGGGAGGTATGGAAATGAAGAAGAAAAGGTGGATGCAGCTCCTGGAAAAAACTGACAAGATCTTAGTGTAGAGAAATACTTTTAACGCCTTAAGGAAAGCACAAAAGAGAAAGCATCCATCGCTGCTGCAAAGAAAGCTTCCCTGATTGCATTATCATAGAAATATCCTCCTCCTCCCCCACCTTCTGCCCCTCGCCTTAACTGTCATGCCATGCTGGTTATATACAATTTCACTGCCAGAGTGAAACATTCATGTGCAGGTTGCTCTCACTTATTTGTTGACACTCAGAATCTTGATATCTCGGAGAGTGATACCACTTCTGTGAGTTTCTCTTGCTATTTACACATCCAAGTTGTCCATATTGGCTTATAAGCCCCAGTGGAGCAGAGACGATCCCCACTGAGCTGGTTTAACAGATCAATAAACACAAATATTCTTCCCCTACCTTGTAATCTAAATCCTCCTTCCCTATGTGCTTTCTCGTGCGCGTCCAAGTTAGAAATTATTAGAAGCTACTGTGTACTTTTTGAAACCCATCAAGCTATCACTGATGCAAAAGGGAAACAGCCCCCTTCAGCTGCTAGTGAAAAGCCCTTCTGTTAGGCAAACTCCCACTCTATAATTAGCTCACATTGCTTTCAATCTCTGGCAGCAGTAACAAATAGGCCATTTCAAACACGAAGAGTTGAAAAAGGTACACGGAAAATGAGCACGAGAGCACACAGCTACTGATGGGGACATTTACTTCCACATACTGCACATAGTGCATATCTTGTCATTTTTATCTGCTAAGAGTAGGCAGAGAACTGAGAAATGGACATGGCATCCGGCTCTGAATTGCAACTATCTTTTTGGAGAGCATTTGCCTAAGAGATTGACTGCATCATAATAAAGCATCCTGTTTTCCCAGTATAATCAGAACTGTTTTTAACACACTACAGATGATAACCCTTTTGCTTAGCTATACCATACCTGAGTCTTTCGCTAGGCTCTCCTTTCTTTCTAGAATGCCATGTATAGCTGTCATGCCATTAAAAAGAGCACCACAGTACCCTGACGCTGCATCCAGTCTCCTAACCCGGGGGAGCCCCAGGGCATCCAAGCTCATCCAGGGTTTATCAAGATCCATCAGGGAGCAGCAAGCTCAACTAAGCAGAGGGAGGGCTAAGGGAGGGGAGCTAACATCTACTGAGAGCCTGCCTTGCTGCAAGAGCTGCAGCTTTGTCCCCTGGAGCCCTCACAACCACACTAGGAGATGTACTTTCTCCATTTTGCATGTGAGAAAACTAATGATGAAAAAGTTTAACAAACTGACCAATGGCACATGACTTTTCAAGCCCAGATCTGGAGTCAAATGCCATGCTCTTTCCACTGTACCACATTGCTCTGATTCTGGAGCAGGGCACGGGGTATGGGAACATGAGAAATTGTGGGAGTTGACATTTTATCGTAAAGGCAAGAGTAAGTCATCGCTCACATTAAATTTTTTCCTATATATAACACCGTGGAAAGAATGTAGAAAACTTATTGAAGGAGGGTAAAATTGAAGATAAGGAGCCCAGTAAGATAGCGCACTATTTCAGAAGAGGGTTGATAAGGGCTGGAAAGAGTCATGTATCAGCTAGGCTTACTTGATTTTAAGCAACATAAACAAGCAAAAACAGCTGTTCAAATCTGCTATTTTGGAAGAGCTTTTATTGGCAGGGTTTGGTGGGCTCACCTGGGTGACAGGAGGCAGGAGAACTAGGCTTGAGTATATGCTAGAACCAAAAGCTCCAAAAGCCAGGGGACCAGAAAGAGAGATGCCTAGATGCAGTCTGGTTGGGACACTTTGGTCACCAGCCTGCAATGAGTGGCTCCAACCATCCCTCTGCCCTTCAACCTCTCACTCAAGTTTTAGAGTCCTGGAACAGAGCAGCTACTTGGCCAAATTGCATGCACCAGAGATCTAGTTTGAGGAAATGGGCATGGAGAGGATCTTGTACTCCGGGATTCCATAGTGGAATGCAGGTACCTGGAATTGCCTCCCCAAAAGAGGACACACGATAACTAAGAGGTATCCCCAGTGGAAATCAGAGTGCTACTCAGGAGACAGAAGGATGCTGGGCTGCCAGAAAAAAATAAAAACAATCAATATGCATAAGAAGAAGCACTAACAGTGGATCTAAGGAAGAGAGAATGGCATTTAAAATGCTATAAGCATCAAACACGCATTGAGAACCAACTATGTGTGAGGCAGTAGGCTACTACTATTAGAGATATATGGAAGTATAAGGCACTGATTTGGACTTTAAGAGATGCTCACACAGAATATAGGATATGAACGTCAGAAAGATAAGTGACAACATTAGTCACACATCTTATGTGCTAGATAAATGGTGCAGTTGATAACCTATGAGATTCAGAGAATGGGCAAGATTGCAAAATCTAAAATAATTAGGAAAGTCATCCCAAGCACAGTGAAACTCGAATAGTATGTATAATTGGGGCCAACAGACTGGAAAAGAGAGCATTCTAGGCAGGGAGAGTGAACTGAGCGGAGTCATGGATATGCAATCTACGCAGGGCATTTAGGAATGAACCCATGCATCGCGGTCATGGAGAAACCATGGTTCCTTCATATAAGGAACCATTCCTGACTGAGAGTCAATAATATTCAAAATGCACCAAAGTGCATCTTCCCTTCTCTTTCTTTAGCTGACTTTGGTCAATCACTCAGCAGTTCCATTTTAAGACTTTAGGGAGGAAAGTAAGGAAGGTGCTCTATTTGCAAGACTGAGAGGTTGGGCTCAAATGTGTCAGTGGTAGTGAGAGAAGAAAGAAAACAGATCTGAAACGGACTGGGATTGTGTGCCAAGTTCCTGACTCCCCTTCCTGGACCAGGGCCGAACTCCTCCAGCTCACTGTCAGGCTGCCAAGTGCCTGGGTCTACCCCAGCTGCCCCATTACCCTCCCTGCTCTCGCTCCTCTCCACCCTTCAGCAATTCGGGCTCTCACCAGTCTGCACAGCCAAGCCCCAGGAAGAGGGACGGATCCACCTGGATCCTGGCCCCCCAGTACCAGGGGTCTTTTGCCCTGGTAGCTGGTTCAACACCGGAACCAGACTCAATAGCACCCCACCCAGGGCTTGCTCAGCCTCCCCACATTCCTTAAGCGGTACTGCAGAATGGTGTAAAAAAGCAAGCTTGGCCATTGTGAATAGTACCGCAATGAACATAGGCGTGCTAATATCTCTTCAAGGTCCTGATTTCAACATTTTTTAAACAAATACCCAGAAGTGGGATTGTTGGATCATATGTCAGTTCTATTTTTAATTTTTTGAGCAATTTCCATACTTTTTTCCATAACTGCTGCACCTTTTTGTATTTCCAAAAGTGTAATTTTTCCGCATCTAAGACTTGCCAACGCTTGTCGTCTTTTGTTTTTTTATGATAATAGCCACCCTGACAGATGTGAAGTGATAATCTCATGGTTTCGATTTGCATTTTTCTGATGATTAGTGACACTGAGCACTTTTTCATATACCTGTTGACCATTTGTATGTTGTCTTTGGAGAAATGTTCATTCAAGTCTTTAGCCCATGTTTTAATTAGGTTAGTAGTTGGTTTATTTCTTTTCTTTTTTTTTACTGTTGACTTGTAGAAATAACCTAAATATCCATAAACAAATAACTGGATTTAAAAATGTGTTACATACATGCAATGGAATACTATTCAGCCTTAAAAAGGAAGGAAATCCTGCCATATGCAACAACATAGATGAACCTTGAGGACATTGTGGTCAGTGAAATAAGCCAGCCACACAAAGACAAATACTGCGTGATTCCACTTACATGAAGTGTCTAAAATAGTCAAATTCATAGAATCAAAGACTGGGATGGGAGTTTCCAGGGGCTGGGGAAAGGAAGAAATGGGAAGTTACTAATCACCAGGCATAAAGTTTCAGTCAAGCAAGATGAATAAGCTGTAGAGACTGGCTATTAACATTGTGACTATAGCCAACAATAACGTATTGTATATTTAAAAATTTGTTAAGAGAGTAGATCTCATGTTAAGTGCTCTTACCACAATGAAATAAAATAAAGTAAAATAAAATAACAATATGCTAATTACATCTCTAGCTGCTTACTTGTGGGAATTGGTCAAGATTCCAGACAGTCCTGCCAGCAGTTCTAGATGCTTGCATTTCCAGATACCTACAGCCACCAGGATGTGGCTGACTGCTGTTTTTCCCTCTCCCAGTTCTGCACTATAATGCACCAAGCTCAGTACACTGCATCAGTAAAACGGGATTGCAGAGGGGCAAGATACACAGCAATCACAGGCTGAAAGGAAGTCCTGAGAGCAAGCTTTTCCTTTAAAGAAACTCAGAGGAGTGTAAGATGCTTTGTCCCAGCAGAGAGGGCTAGCTCAGGCAACTTTGTTTCTTTCCACCATCTTATTTGCTCTATGGATCATGAAAACACTAGTCACTTTTATTACCTAAACCCAAGTTTGTAGCCAATGCTAAGAGTCAAGTATGTAAATACTTTCCATGCTTCTAATTTTTTATGATATTCAGTGGACTGAGCAAGAGAATCCAGAGATGTAGATTAGACCTTCAAGAGCTCAATGGAGACACAAGACCTAACTGCACGAAATCTAACCACTGAGACAAGCCTGGGACACTCAATTCCATTCAATGACTGTTTAGTATATTTTCCATGAGGAGCCACAGAATTCCTGGGCACAGTTGAAATGAAAACCAAGTAGGATTTGTGCAATTCAAGATTCAATTGCTACCGAATTTAATGTAGATGTGACTATAAAAATACAAAAATAAATAAATAAGGTTTCGTAGCAGAGCATCCCAAATGCCCTCTTCACTCTGTACTAGATTGATTACAAAAATGGTTTCAATTATCACACCCTTCACAGTGTAATCTTTCAGCTCTTCCCATTAAGAGGTGAGGTCTATCACACTCCTCCTTGAATTTAGGCTGAGCGATGTGAGTTGGTTTGTCTAACAAAAGTAAAAGTGCTGGTTTTACATTTCCAAGTCTAGATTGCAGGGGACTTGCATGTTTTTGCTAGCTCTTTGGAATCCTGTATCCATGATAAAATAATCCCAGGCTATACAGTGGATAATGAGAGACTAAGTAGAACAACTGGGGTGGTCATTTGAGGCATGTAGGCCATTAGCCCCCAAGTGACTTGGCAGCTGACCATGGACACATGAGTCAATCAGCCAAGACCAGAAAGACCATCCAGATTAGATTTCCAACCTGCAGAAATGTGAGCTAAATGAATGGTTGTTTTAAGTCAGTGATTTTTGGGTCATTTTGTTATGTAGCAATAGGTAACTGATACACTTACCCTTAGGTTTTTGGACACCCTATTTCTTCTTGCACATCAGAAATCAATGTAATTGTTCCCTCCACAAGCTAAGCTATCACCACTCTGCACACCTGCCCCAAGCACCCTATAGAATACCCAGATCTTTTCCGAATTTTGAAGTTAACATGTCTGAGAGTTCTACTTAGCCTTGCCCATCTTTCCTTTCCATCTCAGCTATCATCAGACCTTAATTTCCTTTGCTGGACACTGGAGACAGTGTCCTACTTGGTCTCTACTTCTAGCATTTCCCTGTTTTAGCCAACCTCACCACCTCTTGGCTTGGTCTGAAGATGACACTTTGCATGTCTGATCTTGTTCTTTCTGTGGTCCCTCGCTGTCTAGAGAATTAGGTTGAAATGCCTTATTTAAGGTCAGGACAAAACAAAAATAAATGGTATTGAGTGCCCGCGTGTGCCATACAAAGTTGAATAAGATAGAGAAGCTGAAGTCTACTTAGAGTGCTAGAGGCTCTCTTTACCCTAGTCCCATTCCACCTGTGCAGATTCCTGCTCCACAACGTATCTACCTAAAACATCTGCCCTATCCCTAATCAAGAAACCGCTACACTGGCATTTTTGCTCATGCCTGTTCTCCTAAAATCCTGCTGCCTAAAATCTCCTCCTTACTTTTCCCAGCTTCTCTAATTCTTCATTTTCCTTCAAAGTCCAACTTGAGTTCTGACTCTGCTGAGACGTTCTCCTACTGCCTCTGTCCAGGTAATCTCTGTCTGCATTCTCTCTTGCCATGGTTCCTTCATGCTCCCTTAGCTGTTAGCTAGGGCATCGGCATAGCCGGTCACCACACTGGCCTGGGGACCAGGCCACCGCTTATACCCTCCCTACACCCAGCCCAGTGCCAGACCCACATGCCTGAGGGTGATAATAGTAGATAAAGACGGACTTCATTATACAACTCTCTTCCAGCACAGTGTAAAGTGTTGGCTTTCTTGCCTTTCAAATAAAAGGCTTATACCCTTAATTTTGGGTATTTGCTTTGATTTAAAAACAAACAAACAAACAAACAAATATAGACCCTCACCATCCCTGCCTTGCCTCAC